TTGCCTTATCTACAGAGCTGCTAAACCATATGTGGATGCCAGGGATGGGGGCCATCAAATGTGGTCCCAACTGCTTGCTCTGGATCCCCATGAAGATCAGAGATGCAGTGCTGCCTTTTGTAAATAACCAGAAGCACCAGGAGGCACGGTGTTGCCTCCAAGTCATGGCATCTACTTTTGATATTTTGAAAACCATTGTAAATGGACCCCTGAAAATGGATCCCTTCTCCTTTTCTTTTGGGACCTAATGCTGGTTACCTACTAGTCACAGAGTGATGCAGGTTGTAAAGAATGGTTTGTCCTGGACCCCTGAACACGTATTACAGTGGAATGAGATACTAGAAGGTGGGCCAATTTATACACAAGTTAGGAATTCTTTTTATCTAATTTTGAAATGGGGTATGTATTTTCTAATTTCATTTCTTTAGATGTAGAAATGAAATTATTTTAGACTCACGCATATATGAAATAACAGGTATAAAATAAATTTGACAAGTTTTATCTATGTGCTGGTATATACTCAAAACACTTCCTTTCTACCTGTATATCCAAAGAAAATCTTTGCTGGCTGAATGATAAACAGACTAAGTCCAGATTCCATGGCCTAGTGATCAAGGATGGTCAGTTAGGAATTGTGTTTGGCTGTATGTAAAAGTGCTACAGATAGTGCCCTCAATTGCTGGGATGTCCATTTAGGGTTACTATTAGGACATCTTTCCCTACCTCTCTTTCAGTTTTCCAGATCACTTCATGGTCATAAAAGGCCACTGTACTTCAGCAATGACTTTCACATTCCAGACAAGAAGACAGCCCCCCATGGAAGCAGAATTTCAGATGCCCCACCCAATAACTTCTGCTTGCACTACAATTAGCCAGAGTTAGTTATTTGGCTATCCATAGCTACCAACGAGATATGTAGGGAATGTAGTTTTCCATTGCTAGGTCAATTTTATTGCTGAGTCCTCCACTCAAAAACAAAAAAGAAAAAATCTATTCTGTATCAAAGCAGAAGGGGAAGGGAGAGGTTGGTCAAGTCTCTGGCTGGCCTTCTGGGGTCCGCTGCAGCCCATCTTTGATCTTATCTGCTGTTAAGAGTACTCTGCACCATAGCCGCTCGAGAACACATCACCCTCATTGAGAATCCCCAAGGAGTATCTCCTGCCCCCACTCTGCGGGAAAGCTTTTGTCTCCCATGCCATGCTGCCTTACCTCTAACAGACTTCCCGGATCATAGCTCACACATGGGGCCATTTGGAGATCTGAAGCTATCATAGCTATGGCTTAGCCCAAATGAATCCCACAGTTAATTTTTCATATCCTCTGTGACTCTGATCCCCCTCATACCTCCCTAGGATGAGACATTGCATAGAACAAATACGCAATATGTACTTGTTGAATTCCAGTCCAAACCTAATGCTGGCAAGATGACAAGAGAAAGTAACTTTTGTGCAACCTTTATAAAAGTTTTTTTCTTTCTTTTTGTAAGAAGAAGAAAATAGGTTTTCATCAGCTTTAGGCATATCCTATCATATTTAATAGCTGTCGGGAAATCTCAGGGTTGTTGGTTACTTCAGTGAATAGTTTGTCAGATAGAAGTGCAAATAGTGGTTTGTTTTAAAATACTGACTCCCTAAACCTGGAAGAAACATTGACAGTCTGGGCCTCTTGGAATGTGTGCATTTGATGTGCTCAAGATTAGGCATTCTGCTGAGGACAAACAATGAAAAAGGGAGGAAGAACAATAAAAACTTTTGTTCCCATAAAGCACCTGCAAGCACCATACTTGGAATGCCATCAAATGGTCAGGGGGTCAAAGGCAATACAATCTGGGGGCTCAAGGAAACTGTTTCCTGTGTGTGCCCTTCTTACTGGGCTGCATCGTGTTCTCAAGGGTTATCTTCTGTACAACTCTTTCACGTTTTCAGAGATATTTTCAAATGCCAACTGTTGTAGAGGTTATCACGTTCACTTGGTGTGTCACGACCTTGAGTTATTTCCTTTTCATTTTGAATATGTCTTTCTGAAGGCCTTAGTGATGTGTGACTATTCAGGTTGTATTCATATATAAATGTTAAGGTTTATGGGATCTTTTTTTAAGATTATTTTTTAAACTTGCATTTTTTTTGGTGATAGGGCCTGAAATCACATAAAGAGTGGCTTGTTTCTGGGACTTGTTTTAAAAACTGCATATAAACCATCTATCAGGTATTCAATTGGCTGAAGAATAATATTGAAAGGCCTTCCTCCAGAATTCATCTGTTCTGACAGATCTGAACAAAACTGCTTCCCACAGAATTTATTATATTAAAAAGTCTATTTATTTATCTGAGAGACAGCCACACAACACCCACAGAGAGAGAGAGACAAAGCACTATCATTCACCGACTCACTCCTCAGATGTCTGCAATAGCTGGGACTGCACAAAGCTGAAGCTGGAATCTAGTAACTCAGTCCAGGCCTCTAACCTAGGAAGCAAGAACCCTGTTGCTTGAGCAGTCACAGACCCTCCCAGGGTCTGCCGTATCAGGAAGCTGGAGTTAGGACCTGGAGCTGGAAACTGAACCCAGGCACTTCAGTGTTGGACACTGGTGTCTTTTTTAAAAAAGACTGGCACATTTATTTGAAAGTTACAGAGAGGGAGAGGCACAGAGAGAGGTCTTCCACCCACTGGTTCACTCCCCGAATGGCCACAATGACTGAGGCTGGGACAGGGCAAAACCAGGAGCCAGGAACTTCTTGCAGATATCACACATGGGTAGTAGGGGCCCAAGCACTTGGGCCGTCGTCCACTGCTTTCCCAGGTGAAATAGCAGGGAGCTGAATTGGGAGTGGAGCAGCTGAGACGTGAATCTTTACTTATGTGGGATGCTGACATTGCAAGTAGAGGCCTTACCCACTACGCCACAATGCCGGCCCTGACACTGGTATCTTAATTGGAGGTTTACCTGCTAGGCTAAATGTCCACCTCCCCCTTTGAATTTTATGCTATGTGTAAAAGCAGAGTTTAAGAATTTCCCACGCATATTACCATCTGCACTCTGCTCATCCTTTCTTTCTGCACGCTTTTTAGATTAAGTACCTCCTGAGCAGAATTGTCTAAAGATCCAGTGCTACAGGGCCCACCTCTGGTGACAAATAAACAAGCAAAGTAGTAAATGAGCCCTGTGGGGTCCTGGTGAGGGAGGGTTAGTGATTGTTGAGTGAGGAGATCTAGAAAACAAAAGAGCAACACACACACACACACACACACACAGGCACACCAGCTTGGCAGGACTGCTGGAATTTGAAAAAAAAGAATGTTTAAGCATCATCAGGGAGGACACTGTAGCATTTCCCAGAGTGGAGAACAGCATGGGCAAACAATGAATGGGGAGGAACAGGTATCCGGGCTTCAACACTGAGTCATTGCCAATTCCAGTCCCTAATCAGTAGTTACTGCAGCCTGTGGATTCCTCACGTCAGACCTGAGACCTGAGTGTCTTCTTTGATTTCTGAATGCACTCTCTGCCTCGTAGGATCTACAGTCTATCCTATGTAGCATCACCATTACCATTACATTTCCAGAGCTAATTCTCCTGACGATAAACTTACAGCAGCTTCCTGTTACCTACACATAAAGTGAACATTCTTCGGTCTAAATTGAGGGAAAGTCATCTGATACCTCTCCCCCATGAGTGCTTCCCACACTTCTGCTAGCATTCACCATCTCTTTTGCTCAATATATACCCTGCGTGTCCTTTAATGAAATGATGGTCTACTTTGCTGCATAATTCTCTTCTCCTTGGGTAGTCTTCTCCTGTCTCTGTGAACACATGCTTCATGAAGGATCCAACGCAAGCTTCTTCTATGAGACTTTCTGTCAACAACTCTGTAGATTTTCTTATGTGATGGATTTTTTCACAAATTTCATATATGCTATCCATTTGGATAAAAAAATGCTGCCTTGAGTTACAAGCTCATGATTATTACCTCTCTTTATCTGGATTGCAGGATTCTTGAGACCAGTTACATTCCATACTCTATTTTTCATCTACTGCAATGCACTGTACACATACTTATATAGAGCACAGTTTTTCAGTCTTGTCACCATGACGTTTGAGGCCAGATAATTTGTTCTGTGGTGAGCTGTCTGAGCACTGTGTTCAGCAGCACCCCTGGCCTCTGCCTACTACATGCCAACAGCACCCATACCCTTCCGTGTGACAACCAAAAATGTCTGGCAGCATTGCTGAAGGGCAACAGTACCCCACATTGAGAACCACTGCCGTAGAATAAACAGAATAAATTCCAATCAGACCATGAAAAGGCTTGGGTAAAGATGGACAGCATTTTGAGCTCTTAAAAGCAGTGGAGCTTGGTTTATAGAAGAGTGTCAAACAGAACTTTCTGCTTGCTTTGGGAGGCCAGAGAGAGATCATTATAGATTGAAGAACAATTGTAATGCATCTTAGGGTTAAGCAAGATCAAGATGACAGAAATATTTAAAAATTTTAGTTCCAAAAGGAATTGAATTCTACTTTTTGTTTCATTTTGAATGATTTTATACTTAGAAATTTATTGGAAATTTATCCAGATTACATACCTGCTTTGTATCTTTGGATTAAGAAATACTTTTTGAAGTGTGTTTGAGAGAATGGATTTGAAACTGTGGATATAAGTTATTGCAAAGTTAAAACTGTTGAGAAGCATCAGTTATATTTAATGCATAATTTTACTTACTTTTCTTTCTTTTTAAGTATTTGAATATGGTCTTCAAGTTTAGAAAACTTCACAGCCCCAAGTGATACACATACATATACATAAAGTATGCATATGTGTGTGTGTGTGTGTGTGTGTGTAGTATAGTATAAACAGTCTCTAAGAACTGATTTTGTGTCTCTCTGCTACTTTGCTGTAAGTTCTTCATTTTTCTTTTATTATCAAACTAGGACATGACATCAATGCTATGTGGTTGCTATGCTGCTGATATAGAAATAATGCATGATATTCTCTTTTCACAGCTGTGTGCCAGCCACAATGCAAGCATGGCGAATGTATTGGGCCAAACAAGTGCAAGTGTCATCCTGGGTATGCTGGAAAAACCTGCAACCAAGGTAGGACGGCAGTCTGGCATAAATACCCAGTCATGAGCCTCCTGTATTCCTACCAAACAAAAATTTTAAAGTCTCATCTCAAACTACTTTCCATAGCTATTTGTTCCAAATACGTGAGCTGCCAGTCATCCGATAGATAAAAATGATGAAACTTGTTAAACTTTTTTTTTTTTTTGCAAAGGACAACTAAATGAATTCTAACCCCTTATTCTTTTTCTCTGATACTATTTATATTTTGCAGAAGATAATCACTGTATCTGTAAAGTAGAAGCCTTACATTCTGGTACTCTTTGTTCTTCTATTACTAGTTGGAAGCCTCGAGCAAACTGTTAACCTCCTCACACCCTAGTTAGTGCTCTCTTTCAATAGTGGAAGTCAGGTAGGAGATTTGACTTGAAAGTTAGAGCTTTCTTCCAGCGTGGAGGGCTTCGGTTCTGTGACTAAATCTCTCTTCAACTGCTGACCAAGTTGGATGCCCCTCTAAGAAATAAAAATGCTGGGGGGCGGTGTTGTGGCACAGCAGGTTAAGCCTCCACCGGTGTCTCAAGGGCATTAGTTCAGGGCCTGGCTGCTCTGTTTTTGAAAAGAAGCAGAGGATGGCCCAAGTGCTTGGGCCCCTGCCACCCACTTGGGAGTGCCAGATGGAGTTTTAGGTTCCTGGCTTTGGCCTGACCCAGTCCCTACTATTGCAGCCATTTGGGGAGTGAACCAGTGGGTGGAAGGCTTCTCTCCCTTTCCTTATCTCTCCCTCTCTTTCTATAACTCTGCCTTTTGAATAAATAAATCTATCTTTAAAGAAGAAAAAAGAGAAATAAAAATGCTGACCAATTTAGCAAGTGATTAAAAAATCAGCATCAATTGCTCATGAAAACATTTATCCAACATTGTCAGTGTCCCAGGTATTTTATATGTAATAGCCATTTTAATCCTTACAACTACATTAGGAAGTAGAGTTTTATTTATTGTAATTAAGGTATAAATAACTATTATTCTGTTTTTTCCACTTGAAAAGATTGAAGCTCAAGAATTTTGTGTCTTTCCCAAAATCACAGAATTAATTGGTAAAAGAACTTATTTGTCAAATTAGAATTACTGCTGTATTATCCATAGTCTTTCTACCAAACTAGTTTTGGATGAAAAAAATATAAGTGGAAATGTGATCCTCTGACTCATCCTGAAACATCAGACAAGGCTTGTTTTTTAAATTGGTTGCAGCTAAATACTTCTATTGGGAGCTAAAAAGCTAGAAATAAAGTTAGGGCAAGATTTCACAAAAAGATAACAGGATAAGAATCAACTTTTACTTGTTTCTGAAATACTCCCTATCATTTCAAATGTCAAATGAAACAGTGATCTGGGCCTAACTACCCCATGAAGACTCACTGATCTCATCGGATACAGAAATGATACTGTTGAAACTCTACCATTCTTCCGTATTTAAATTATTCCCGGTCCTCCTTGAGGCGTGTCATGCAAACTAGTGATTTATAGATCTGGTTTTTACAACCATCCAGAACTCTGTTGTTAGAAAGTAAATGTAATTATTTATCAGATGAAATTCACACTAGTAAAATGTGGCATGTCCCATGGCAGGAGAAGCTGTTCATGTATTATCTGCTGTCTGATTTATAGCAGACTCTCCCAATGCTTATTTTCTGTCTTATATTTTAATAACTTGGAATTTATCAGACATTCCTGGGTAGTCTTTTTGAAATAAATGATGCTTTTGTTATCTCAGTTTTGATTTCCCTCCCCCAGCTCACAAGCAGCAGCATGCTCCATTCTGGCTATTGAGTTATCAGCGTTCGTTCTAGAATCCCGGTGTGCTGCTGCTGCTGCTGCTGCTGCCGCCTTTTTTTTTTTTTTTAAGTAGTCAACTCCAACCCTCAGCAACTTCACTCATTTGTCAGCACTATGAAATTTTGTTTTCTTGATGCCAGGAATTTACATAAAGAAGACAATTTAAAGAAGCCACTTTCAAAATTGTAGAGAAATTCATTTAAATTTAGTTTCAGGAGCTACCTCAACTTTAACATGCTTCAAGAAACGAACACTGTTCTGGGAATAAAGCTCTCTCACTGGGTAGCTCTTATTTTCAGAAAAGCTGTCTATCCCAGGCTTTTTTCCTATAACATGTACCTGTCTCCCTAAAATAAAAGAGAGCATATGCCGAATTAAAAATCTTGCTTCCCAGAATCATATTCCCTAGGGAGGAAAGGATTTCATTAGTAGCAAATGGGATTTTACACTTGTAAAAATAGTGCTGACACTAAAAATGTCATTTCAAGCCCAGTCTTGAAAATAAAACTCCAGCTTAGAATAAACCTATGTGTTTTAATCATCTCTTACTTTTCCCTCTTTACAAAAAGAAAAAGCCAAAAACAATGAGTTGTGGCACATTCCTGGGGAAAGGTTTGTGCTTTGGGAGCAGAAACCCTTTGTGGTGTCTCTCTGGTTTCGGTAGCTGAAAACGCTTATTAACCTGATTTGCACGTGTTAAGTGCTCATGAAACATTTGTTTCATATAATGGTTCCGGTACACCTTAGCCAGTCTCTGAATCTGGACTGAGAGCCCTGTTGAGTGCAAGAGGCTACGGGCGAGTGACCTGGGTAAGTGTGGGAGCTGCCTGGAGAGCGGCAGCAGAGCCCACTGTCCATCACTGCTCCATAACAGATTCACACTGGAGTCCTCCCAGCTCACACCTCTATAAGATGTAGATCCATGCCTCAGAGACACAGGAAATCAAATAGGTCTCTGTGTGCTTGACGAGACAAATACCAAGACATGAATTTGAAATTATTACATAGACCTGGAAATTAGTTTCTGATCAAAAGTAGATTTGGATCTAAGTATTAGCTAGGCAGGTATTCACCAAGATTTTGTTGGGAGTTATGAACTTTAATCATTAGCCCTCTGGAAACTTGCTGAGGAGAGTAAACAGCCTGAATAAATGACAAGTCCTTAGCCTGTGCTTTCAGGGCTGCCCGGAGAGCAACTAGAATAGCAGGTGAGCCACAGTTTGGAGCTGGCGTAGTGAGGCCTGCTGGTGGCTTGCTCTTCCCTCTGTGTCTCTTTCTGGATTGGGTACACCAAGAGAAGATAGAAAATCATAGGCATGGACTGATCAGTAACATACCCTATAAGGCACAGAAACCCTTCACAGGAGACGAAATTCTAACCCAAATTCTGGTAAAATTCTCTGTGATCGTTTACTTCCCTCCACATTTCCCTAAATTCTCCAGTAATTTCACTCATGCCTATTTTTCCTCTTCTTGATTCTCTGTACCCACTAAAGTCTTCTTTCTCCCTGGCCAAAAAAAGAATACTATTATGGATAATAATCTTTGTATAACTTTCCCATTTGGGGATGATTTTTAATGTGTAAAAAAACCTTGGAATTTTGAAAATGAAAAACATTCTTTTGAAGTTACAGTGTATTTTATAATAATTTCAGAAGAAACAACTTAAAGTGATCAATTACTAATGTTTTACTATGGCTTCTATTTCATATGTTGATTTCCTCATCCCAAGAAAAGAATCAGTGTCATACAGTACAGAGCATGCATTAAACTTTAGTGAAAATTCCTTAGACCAATTAAATTTGGTAGTTTGAACAAAACAAAGCAAAATAAAGACTATTCACAAATCTGACAGCTCCCAGAACCAGAACGGGTTATAAAACTAACAAGTAATGTGATCAGACAGCATTAATAAGAAAACAGGTGAGACATAGAAAGCAACTTAAATGGCTATAGCCTGATCAACTAGTCAACTGGTTATAACTTAGTTAATTGTTCTCAATCTAATTAATTAATTGGCTACAGGCCTCTTAGAACCAACTAAAACTCAGTTACTATGATTAAACTCTACCTGGATTTTTGGTCTGTTGGGCCCAGTGCAAATCTAAGGCCTTCTACAAAGTTTTATTTAACAGACTAGTTATATCTGAAAGTTGATTGTTTTCCCAAGCACAACAATCTAAGTGCTTCAACCCTAATGTTCCTAATGTACAGCCTTATCTTTTGAAGAATATTATGCTTTCAACCCCAGAAACCAATTTTCACTTGATTTGAAAGTTTATTTTGCTGTTTGTAACATAATAGTCTTGAAACAGAATATGATTACCTTTTTGAGTCTCTGTTTTGAAACTCATCCACTTTATAATATTTGGTAAACTATTAATGGCAATGGTTAACATTTTTTGTTAACTATTGAAAAGCTTTTTATGTATGTTCTAATTAAATGTGACCTAAATGTATCATCAGTTCTTAGATGTTGATAGCAGCATTGATGATCTTTCATGCTATTATTTAAAGCCTTTAGGCAAATTGTAAATTTGTGCTTAATTTCCGAGTATTTTAAACCACCATTGTACCACATCAAAATATAGGAAAAAATCTTATGTTGGTTATTTAAGGCTTCAGTGTCCCTAAACAGCAGTTTGGTTGTAACGATATTTGAATAATTTTTTTATTATCTATCTTCATTGATAACTAAAACTATGCTTTTAAAAGTGGCCATTTGTTTTTTGGAGTTTAAGAAAACATGGCATAAGAATGATGGAAGACAATAATTTATAGTGTGCATTATCCTTGGGACTATACTGAATTTTTAGGAAAATAAAAATGAAAGAAGAGAGACTAGAAATACTAGAAATATTTTTGTAAAGTATCTAAAGCATTCTTTTTAAACCCCACCAACTTTGTGTAATTGTTTAATATATACTTGTAAAGATTTTTAGGGCTAAAAATGACATCCGTTCAAAGTTGACTCTTATTACCTTCTTCCTGGTGTGAAGACGAGCACGTCTACCCAACTCCTCTTGACCAAGGCAGTGAACAGCCTGTTTTTCAACCCCTGGATCAAGCCACAAGTTTACCTTCAAGGGGTGAGCGTGCGTTGTCTCAGGTGGTCTGCTCCTCCCACCTGCACGGCTTCCTGCAGTTATGTCACTTCTTGCAAATGTTCTGAAGACTGGTGCAGGAGTGTCCAGCCTCCAGCCCTGAGCATGTGAAGCAAGCCCCCCAGGAATTACTCCCTGGTGCTCATTCTCTGTGACCTGGCAAGCATGGAGCCTCCACTGTCCTGTCAATGCACCAAGTATCATTGCTTCTCTTCTTCTCTGGATTTCGATGTGTTTTCTAAAAATCAGATAGAAAAATAATTTTGTTTTCATATTTAGGCCTAAAGCCCAAAATTATAGAGCACCTGAAACTGGGGTTTTACTGCCTTTTGCTAAGTTGACTTTTAAAAGTTATCAAGTCATTTTCCCCACCACCATCTATTTGAGGTGTCTGGTTGCCTAAAGATCAAGCCAAATATCAGAAAACCTAACTTCTGGTTCCAGGATGTTATTTTATTAGGTGTTTGGGAGCAAGTCATTTAAATGTGTTGAGACCTTAGCAAACCAATCAGTAACAGGGGGATAGTAATTCCTACCTTATTTGCCTGCAAGGATGGTGTCAGGATGGGAACACCAAAAATATTAATGTTTTAGTTGTGCTGGAAAGTTTTATAGGAAAGTAAAGTGGTAGCTTAATTCTATCCCTTATCCACCCACAAGTTTACGAATTTAGAATAACTACATTAAAATAGTTTATCAATTCATTGGTTGTGCTGAAAGGGAACTTTATGCATTTCTGTACCTTCTGCTGAAGGAATTGGAGTAATGGGATTAATTTCAGAGTCCTTGACAACGTAAAGAATAGAAGCCGTGACAGTTGACCTATTGACATCTGTTTGCCTATGACATCCAATTTAGTCAGAAAAAACTCTGCAGGCTTAGGTTTGTGAAACGTTGCCCAATTTAAGCTTCAGAGGGAAAAAAATGTCCAAATGCATTAAAATGAATGATACATTCTTTTCCCTAAAAAAAAAAAAATCCATTAGGCTATCTTAGTCAATGAGCTCTTCTAGATTTTTCCAGCTACTTTTTAGTGTGCGCATGCTAATAAAATTTCTGATTCTTCTTTTCCTGAAATGCAGTAATGCTGTGCAGCTTGCACTGATGTTCTGAACCAGCTCCCTTCTTCCCCCCTTCTCCCACCCAAGCTCCTGAATCTACCAACCTGCTTAAATGTACTCCTGACTGGTAATAGATTCCCTTTGAGAGCTATGTACTTCATAATTAAAGTGTTTACATGTAAGTGACTTAATCATAAAGATCTATCATTTGGTGTGTAAGCATATGATAGAACTCATTGAATGTTTTAATTATAGGTTTTCCTTATGATTTGTATTACTTTTTAAACTTCCAGAAAAACATAAAGATTAAATTTAATGTAAAAAACACTAAAGATTTGTTTTCTAGGTTCTCTTAGCAACTTTTAAGACTTATTTGAAACAGTGTTATCAAGGGGAGTTTTCATGGCCTTTATAGTGTTCTTCTTATCATTATTGGAATATTACTACCATTTTAAAGCATCATTTTTGAATTTCTGACTTAATTCTGTAATATAAGCATTACTAGGTCTGCAGTCAACAGGTTGTGATGGTGAGTGTAGCAGTTACTAGAGGCACCACACATTAACTCATTTTATAAGGTTTTAGGCCAATAAGAAAATAAGGTAACATTATTACAGAATAGAAACCCTTGAGAAAATTGAGGGTAATGAGGTTCCTCACTAGGATACCACATGCATTTGATCTTTTGAAGCTCCTTACTTTAGCATAAACGTGGTATTTGGAAAATACTGATAAACATGGATGACTGTGGGACCCTATGTTGCAATTTCTATAGTGGTCTTAAACATTTGTAGGGGCCATTGTGAAATTTTTAGGCAACATCTGCCTGTGGCACATGGGGCAATGGTGGCAGTCACTGCGGACATTAACATCAGCCACCTGCCAGGGATGTCATCCAGCCCATCAGCAGCTGTTAGAATACAGTTTTCTCAAATTGCTCTCCATGTATTTGGATTCTTAGACACCAGCTTAAAAGGAGTAGAATAGCTAATGAATGTCTCGACATTTTATGTTTGTTGCAGATTTTCTTCCTTTTCCATATTATTTCACAGAGAATGATTCCCAGATTTTTTTTTTCTTTGAATTATGACATCTTACTGTTGTTTATTTCCTTGTCGTTTATCTATTCTTAACTCCAAAGTGCCTTCCTCATGGAAAGAGAAGGATGAATTTGGGGTGAGTCAGTCCCTAAGAACACCGGCAACCCCATTGTGGACTCTAACTATTCCTTAAGCGATTCTAAGAGGCCTTTCATCCACCAAGCCTGGAGTCAGGCTGTGGAAGAGCTGCCTCTGTTGGGTTTCAGCTTCAGCTTCATGGGCAAAACCTCAGAAGAGTTTTCCATCAGCATAGACAATCCTTATTTCAAAATGCCCAGAGCTGTAAACTCTGACCAATTCCCATGAGGAACCCACAGAAATTTCTGTGGTTCTTTAAGAAAAAAACCTAGGGATTCTTAACTGACTCATTTTACAATCCTTTAAAAAGTCTTCACTTGAAATGTTTTGTTGTGTTGTTTTATTTATTTACTTTTTAGTGCAGAAAAATATTTAAAACGCAAAGCCTTTCTCTAACAATGTACTCAGATTTAAATACTATTTAGATAGTATCAGTCATGGATTTCTCACATCCAGGGCAGGGCATCTTAGGAATAATAATTAAGTCCTCTTAGAGGGTGAAAAAAAGATTCTCCAATTCTGATTTTTTATAAATGTTGAAATGTAAGGTAGAAGAATATGGCAGAGGAAGACAATTTCTTGCTCACACATTCCTTCTTAATTTTTATTTAAAGAGGAATAAATCAGTATTTTTGATGCTGTAATCTGCAGAACACATCATATTAATAAAATTTTTTGAATTATTCAAAAATGCAGTTCTATTTTGAAAACCCTTGACTTGGAAGAACAACAATATAGTAGAAAATTGAAGAAAGCTTATGAGATGACAAAGGTATTTAGTTTATTTATTTAACCTTTTTAAGCTTTTACTGCTGGGGATCTGCCTACGATTGTGTTAAAGGTAGGGAAAAACTAAGTTGGAAAGTCAATGAGATATGAAAATATTCTTAGGTGCAATAATTATCTGGTGGTTTCAAAGCATAATGTAACGTGGTGATTTAGTGAAGTAAAATAAGCAGATCAGGTTCAAATTTGTTCAGATTTGAAAACCACTTTGTGACTGGATATGTATATTTCTTATTCAATGACGTGGATTAATAGATAATTACTTTATGCTGGTGGTTCCAGACAAAATAGACATGTGGTCACATTTCTTTTTAATAAAGTCTATTTTGGGGGCATTACTATTTCATTGTTTGTCATTATGAGTTTTATGTTCACTTGAGGCAATGTTCAACTTCACGTGGAAAATTTTCATATGTGAAATTTATTAATTCACTTATATTGATATTTAAGCCAACACTTCCAAAATATGTAATAATTCATTACTTTTTTCATTAGTATTTACATCCATGTGCCCTTCTTAATTGAAAATATGTTGGGGGCAGGATTTTTTAAAGTTCATTTTGTGACTTGAATGCATTTCTGAAGTTTCTCCTTTAATCTGAGATCAGTATAGAATCTACAACACAGCAAGAAAAACTACGTTAGTGATCACTGATTTATGTCGTTCTTATCTCTGAAGCTGTAGCGTTCTTTTGGGAAAGTCAAATCAGTTTAGTGAATTATAATCTGTACACTTCCCTGTAAAATAAAATATGCTCATGTGATATCTTCTTAAAGAAGACATTGAAAGAAAGAGTAAGACAGATTGCCAGGGGTGGCTGGTAGTGGAACCCAGAAGTTTGAGTTGACCGATGATAGAGTGCCTGTACCCATGAGGAGATTCGTATGCCGCTCTTTCCAGGGATGGTCAGGTAGACACCTATCTGTGAGGAGAATCAACTTGCCCTTTGTAGAGAGAGTTCCATAAAGGCCATCTGACTCCTGGTCACTTCTAGCATCACTAGCGATCAAATTTGGGTTGTCTGAACAGGCCTTATCCCTTTTACAAATGATGGCTACTCTATCTGGACCTCCTTTTCTCCTTCATTCTTCAATATACAAAAATAGTTCAGATGTTGTGCATGAATGCTGAGGCTTTGTGATTTTTTCTGCTTCAATCCACATTCTTTTCAGATCTGAATGAGTGTGGCCTGAAGCCTCGGCCCTGTAAGCACAGGTGCATGAACACTTACGGCAGCTACAAGTGCTACTGTCTCAACGGATACATGCTTATGCCGGATGGGTCCTGCTCAGGTATGTCAAGAATCTCAACTGCTTTATAAGTGCTTTGGGCTTGATTGCTGCTATACTCTGGCAACATGCCTTTGTGAAAGTGGCCTTCCACGCCCTTCTAAGTGGGATATGTGTGTGTGTTTATATGTGTGTCTGAGGAATTGAAAATCAAAATAAGTGGCACCCACTTTAGATGTATAATGTTCGTGTACCATTGGTGCCTGTATTAAATTGATTTGGAAATGGTATTCAAACCAATAATCATCAAACTAAGTGCATTTCCTAATTTTTTTTTCCTGTTTTCTATCTGGGACTAGAAGAACTATTCTAGTATAAAAAAAAAAAAAACCTTAGTGACTATTTGGGGAGTATGCAAAGAAAATTCTTCAGGTCTGTTAAATGATTATAAAATCATTCACAAGCATTCACTTCATTTTATATTTCTTGCTAATAGTATAGAGACTTTTAGACTTTTACAATAGTCTAAGAGTTTTGAAATAAAACTACGTAAAATGAAAAAAAAAATAGAAGAATACCATGCCTTTGTAGGGAAGAAATGAATCGGTGTTTCCTACTATCATTTGGATGTATTTAAGAGATGGAAAATGCCCTAATATTTTCTGCAGGCTGAATGTTGAATTGAAGTTTTTATTTGATATCCAACAAATAACACCTTGACTTTAATTTTTGATGATTATCAGTAAGCTGAGTTGTACTTTCTGAAACTTAAAAAGTTTGCTAATTTTCCTTAGGATTGTATAAGCATAGATGGTGTTAACAGTGAGAATGCACTAAACCTTGTGCAGCTCACTGGGAAATCTCTTGCGCCCCTTGTGGACTTTAACAGCGAGTTGAGATGGCTGTTTGGATGTTTTGGTCATGAACAGCACTGAGCTTGAGTAATCTGGAACACATCTTCATTCTACACCGTCCTGGGTCACTGGAAAAATTTCCAGATAATCTGTGTGAGATGAAGTTTTACATTTGTGTTTTAAGAGCATCAGCAGTCTTCCTCTTGCACAATGGTGACAGAGCTGGTTTGCTTCTTAGTCACCCTTGGGGAAGTGTGTATGGCGGAGGTCGGGCGGGTGTGTAGCTTTCTGTCCCTCCCTCCGCTCTTGACTTACTCTAGAATGTTGGGTCATTGAGGCCTCCTCGTCTTTGTTGTTGATTCAGTGTCAGTGATTTCAAGACAAGTGGAAACCGTAGTTACTTCAGCGCAAGTTTCGTTTTTTACCTCTCTGAGTCAGCCAGCTGCTTTCTTCCCAGGTGCCCTGACGTGCTCCATGGCAAACTGTCAGTACGGCTGTGATGTTGTCAAGGGACAGATCCGGTGCCAGTGCCCCTCCCCTGGGCTGCAGCTGGCTCCCGATGGGAGGACCTGTGTGGGTGAGTTGCCGGCTCAAGCACCTCTGTCAGCAGTCTCTGCAGAGTAAGGGAAAGTGGGAGGTCCTGTGGGCGGAGGGAAAGGCAATTACTCTGGGTCATTAGCTGTCCTCCAGCCCACAGCACATGGCCCAGAAGGAAGGGACCTCTCTTCGCGAATGGGTCTTTGTTTCATGAAAAGTCAGAGATAAGAGGAAACTTTAAGCAGAGGGAACCACACGTGCAAAGGCGCTGATGTTCAAAGGAGCTCGATGTTCAGGGACACAAGAAGAGCTCAGTGTTTCTAGAAGATAAGAAGCAAGGGGGAGCAATGAGTGTTGGAGCTGAATAGGTCTACAGAGCTGGTTAGGACGTGTTGCACCATAGAGGTTAGATTTTGCTTTTTCTGGTAAATTAGGAAGGCAGTGTCAGAGTATAGCTCCCTGGCTCTGGTTTCAAACATGGCTCTGCAATCTTAGGCAATAGACGTTCTTCGAGCTTGGGTCTCCATATTTATAAAATGGGAATAACGCCACCTAGGACCATTGTGAGGCTTGAATGAGATCATGTATGTAAAGAACTTAGCACAGTGTCTAGCATGTTGTGGGTATTTGGTGATTCAGGAGTTATTTGTTGAGTGCTTTGTCTCTTCCAGACATTGTGCTAAGTCATAGACGGAAATGGACAAAGCAGGCCTGATTTTGATACTAAGCTGATGTTCTAGTAGGAGAGACTGAAAAGAAACAAATACCCAATAAAACTACAGGGCACGCTAAGTGCTAACATGAGTACTAAGACAAAAGCTGGAAAGGGTCTTTTTAGAAAATAATGGTCAGAGAAACCGGCCTTGAGGTGCACGAAGAAGAAAAGCCAATCTGCTGATGCAGTCACAGGCTGCTGTTTATAAAAAAAAAAAAAAATAATGGTCAGATAAATTTAACGTGGATCATAAGCCATGTGAAGAATTAGTCAATCCTGTGGAAACATTGCAGGGCACTTCATTGAGAGAGAGATTGGTTAGTATGAGATTTTTAAAGAAAGAAGGCCGGGGCTGGCATTGTGGCCTAGCAGGTAAAGCCACTGCCTGTGATGCTAGTATGGGCACCAGTGTGTGTCCTGGCTGCTCCACTTCAAATCCAGCTCTCTGCTCATGGCCTGGGAGTAGCAGGGGAAGATGGCCTAAGTGCTTGGGCCCCTGCTGCCCACACAGGAGACCCAAAAGAGGTTTCTGGCCCCTGGCCTTGGCCTGGCCATAGGCCATTTGGGGAATGAACCAGTGAATGGAAGACCTCTGTGTGTGTGTGTGTGTGTGTGTGTGTCCCACTCTTCTGTAACTCTGACTTTCAAATAAATAAATATTTTTTAAATGAGGAGCTGTGATAACATTTGAAAAAAAAATAGAGTCCTTCAAGGACATGGGGAGACAGGTGGCTCTAATTCAAAAGGCAAGCAGAAACAATCGTGAGGTTTTAAGCATAATAATGATTTGATTTTATGTTTTAGCAAAATAATTTTGACCATCGGAGAATGCTTGAGAGAGAGTAAGATTGATGGGGAAAGATCAGTGTGGGGGCCCTTGTGAGAGTCTAACTCAGGAGGTGGTAGCTTGGAATAGGGCAGCGGCAGTGAATGAGGTGCAGAGAAGACAAGTTCGGGTAACACCTCCACGGGAGAATTAATGGCACTTGATGATCTGGGAGTTACAGGAAAGAGGTTTGTCAAGGATGACTCATGTTTAGTTCAAGGAGCTAGGTAGGTACAGGTGTAGGATGTGCTCATAGACCAAAAACAACTTGGTTTACAAGATGAATTAAAATTTGGAGATGTGGAATGTATGTACCCCTTGGGGGCAGCCAGCTGGATCCTGTTTATGGTGAGCCACTGTGTGTCAGGCAACAGTGTGCAGTCAGTTATTGTAAACTCCAGTCTGTCTGAACACGCACTCCCTCCTCCTAAGATACAATTAACTTACGTTTCTAGATATTGATGAGTGTGCCACTGGAAGAGCCTCCTGCCCTAGATTCAGGCAGTGTGTCAACACTTTCGGAAGTTACATCTGCAAGTGTCATACAGGCTTCGACCTCATGTACATTGGAGGCAAATACCAATGTCATGGTAAGGAAATCCAGACATTGCTTTGTGTTGTTGCATCCTGTAGCACTGAAAGATCTCTTTACTGTGGTGATGGGTGGGATGTCAGGGGCAGAGGAAGGCACTGTTGATGCCTGCTTCAATGGCTATGAGTTCTGGATCCACATATACTTTATTTTGTTGATCTGTCAATTAGATAAATTTTTTTGAAACTGTATGTATTTTCATGCCATTATATTTATTCCATAACCAAACCTTTTCTTTCCCTACTTCTTGATGCAGATATAGATGAATGTGCCCGAGGTCAGCACCAGTGCAGCAGCTTTGCTCGATGCTACAACGTACACGGGTCCTACAAGTGTAAATGTAAAGAAGGGTACCAGGGCACTGGACTGACTTGTGTGTGTGAGTAGCACTTGTCTCCCAGCAGGAAATAACGGCATTACACAAAGGTCACTGCTAGGGAAAACAAGGAACAAGATTAATTATTAAAGAAGTACAATTCCGGCTGGCGCCGCAGCTCACTAGGCTAATCCTCCGCCTTGTGGTGCCGGCACACCGCGTTCTAGTCCCGGTCGGGGTGCCGGATTCTGTCCCGGTTGCCCCTCTTCCAGGCCAGCTCTCTGCTGTGGCCAGGGAGTGCAGTGGAGGATGGCCCAAGTACTTGGGCCCTGCACTCCATGGGAGACCAGGATAAGTACCTGGCTCCTGCCATCGGATCAGCGCGGTGCGCCGGCCGCGGCAGCCATTGGAGGGTGAACCAACGGCAAAGGAAGACCTTTCTCTCTGTCTCTCTCTCTCTCTCAATGTCCACTCTGCCTGTCAAAAAAATAAATAAATAAATAAATAAATAAAAAGAAGTACAATTCCTATAGCTGATAATCCTAGTCTATGTTTTATACAAACAACAAATTCACTTGTTCAGGTAGTTTTCCAAAACCAGACTCAGTAATACATTCTAACCTTAAAAACATTCAGGTTTATTTACTAAAATTCCTTAATAACTTTACTTTAGCTAGAAAGAAAATATAGAGCCCTCACTAAGAAATTTTCTTTTGTTAAATTCATAAGTAAATGATTGCCATTAGTGTTAGATTGTGATGATAATCTGAATATAGTTTACTTCTTTATTGTTCTGTTTTATTCCTTCTAGCTGTACTATTAAAAATAATTTTCATATTTATTTCCTCTATATTCAGGACTGTTTTGCTTTTAAAATTTTTGTAAACTATATTGACTATAGTTTGACTATTGGAATGGTGACTATGTTAATAGATAAAGATGAAAAAAAATACCCTCCCAGATGAAAGTGTGTACAAACCAAAGGCCATAATTTAGCATACATTTCAAGTAACACTAGATAATTTTTTAAAATTACTTTAGTAAAATATTTACTGAAAACCATGGGGCATAAAATCATGAGGATTAAAGGATTTTTAAAGGATCATGTAGTCTGAAATATATACTTCCAGGCAGATTAAATATTGATTCTTTTTGGTGAAGAATATCAAGGAAAAAGAGTCCACAGATGACCTTTGTGGTAAAATTTGATTTTATAAATTAGTGAAAGGGCAGGAAAAAAAACCTATAAAGCAATCTGTAGAAGGTTTAGCTAAATTCTTTCACATGAACTATATATGTGTACATAGTGTGAATGAGAAAATTATTAGTCATTAGGCAATTCTAAACATGACTTTATAATATACATGTAGCCTAGAGATACTTAACATAGAGTCTAAATATACATTTCTCATATTTAAAAAACTTAGGATATTTACATTTAAAAAATCTCATTGTCAGTTTCTACTTTATAAATATTTAAAATTCTTTTTGTGGTTAAAATAATATATATTCATTATAGAAAAACACCCATTTTTTTTTTTTGCATAAGCCCAAAGGATGAATCAAGGTATATATGAGGGTACTTCAAAAAGTTCAGGCCAGCGCTGCAGCTCTCTAGGCTAATCCTCCACCTGCAGTGCCGGCACCCCGGGTTCTAGTCCCAGTTGGGGCGCTGGATTCTGTCCCGGTTTTTCCTCTTCCAGTCCAGCTCTCTGCTGTGGCCCGGGAAGGCAGTGGAGGATGGCCCAAGTGCTTGGGCCCTGCACCCACGTGAGAGACCAGGAGGAAGCACCTGGCTCCTGGCTTCAGATCTGTGCAGCGCGCCGGCCGCAACGTGCGGCCATTTCAGGGGTGAACCAATGAAAGGAAGACCTTTCTCTCTGTCTCTCTCACTGTCTAACTCTCCCTGTCAAAAAAAAAAAAAAAAAAAGTTCATACAGGAGCAGCATTGTGGTGCAGTGGGTTAAGTTGCTTCATGGAATGCCAGCATCCCATCTGAGCACTGGTTTGAGTCCCAGCTGCTCCACTTCCAGTCCAGTCCTGCTAATGCACCTGGAAAAGAAGTAGAAAATGACCTAAGTGCTTGGGACCCTTCTTCCCACGTGGGAGATCCAGATGCAGCTTCTAGCTTTAACCTGCCACAGCTCCAGTAGTTGGGCCATTTGAGGAGTGAACCAGAGGATGGATGATCTCTCTCTTTGTCTCTCCCTCCCTCTCTCTTTAACTCTGCCTTTCAAATAATAAATAAATTCATCTTTTAAAAAAGTTAATGAAAACTTTTTATTAATTCAAATTAATATAATGTCCATTTTCTAGAAACTTTTTGAAGTACTCTTCTATATGAATATGATGTCTGTGTATGTATATAAACACACCTCTATTATTTGAAAAACAGCTTGACTTACGGTAGGAAATATTCTAAAGGTGAAAAGCAAGACTAGTTGGCATGAGATGTTTCCTCTGATCTTTCACAGTTTAATATTTTACTTGTTAGGAAGAAATAGTCACACACTAATGTAAGTCTTTGAACTTTTTCAGATATCCCAAAAGTCATGATTGAGCCTTCAGGTCCAATTCATGTGCCAAAAGGGAATGGTACCATTTTAAATGGTGATGGAGGACACAGTAACTGGATTCCCGATGTTGGCAGTACCAGGTGGCCTCTGAAGACACCGCATATTCCTCCTGTCATTACCTACCGGCCCACTGCTGAGCCAACAACAAGCCCTACACCAACGCCAACAACACAGCCAACTCCACCACCGCCACCACCCCCCCTGCCAACAGAGCTCAGAACACCGCCACCAACAACCCCAGAAAGGCCAACCACCAGGCTGACAACTGAAGCACCAGCTGCCACTACCTCTGCAAGAGGGATTACAGATGACAACAGGATACAGACAGATCCTCAGAAACCCAGAGGAGATGTGTTCAGTAAGTCACATAAATGTTAGTACATTTTTAGTAGGTGCCTTATGTTGACATTTCAGCCCCAGGCCATGTCTTGAGTAAGAGTCAAACTCATGAAGTAGGTGTGAAAGGTGATATAACCGTATTGACAAATATTATGGAGAGCTATGTAAACAGTGTAGTTGGGCAAGCAGGAAGGAACGTGTGCAGAAGTGAAAGGAATATCACAAAGTCACATGATAGATGCCCTCTTACCCAGTATTGGAATCCTCCCAACAGCCAGATTCACCTGAAACATTCAGAAATGGGGAGCTTACCATATCCTGTGGCATTTTACTTTTAATCTGTGCATTCACTCAGTGAATGTTCTTGAGTACCTTTCTGTATGCGAGGCCATGCCCTAGACATTAGTCTTACGAAGGTCAAACCGAAAAGGTCATGGACTAGTGGGAAAAACAGGCACCCAGAAGACCCCTGTTCCATGTTAGTGATAGTTTTGTGTAGGACATCACAGGACTGGAAGGGGTGCCTCGTCAGTCCTTGGATGGGGAGTATTCGGGAGGGCTTCCTGAGTGAAATGTGGCAAAGGCAATGAGAGAAAGGAGGCATTGTAGTTAGCAGAGACAGCACAGCAAAGGTGCAGAAGCAGTAGGCAGCGTGACCTACACAATAAACCATGGGGACACTGAAGGGTCAGGGCAGGGAGAGACGAAAGAAGCTGCAGCATCACCCTCATTGTACTTGCTGTTAAATGGGGATTTAATGTAGACTGGAGCTAGGTTCGAGTAAAGGCCCCCAGATTTATAGCAGTGTCTGGGTGCAGGTTGGTACCATCAGTGGAGGTAGAGGCTATGGGAGAAGGAGCAAGTTTTGAAGGAAGAAAAGGTTGTTTCTAGCTACTAGACCAAAATTTAGATTTTTACTTTTATCTGTTCCTTTTTTTCCCATTTGTCCTACGTCACTTTGCTCGCTCACTTTCTCTCTCTCTCTTTTTTTCTTTCTTTCTTTCTTTCTTTCTTATTTATTTATTTATTTGAGAGGTAGAGTTATAGACAGTGAGAGAGAGAGAAAGGTCTTTCTTCCATTGGTTCACTCCCCAAATGGCTGCTACGACCAGCGCTGTGCCGATCTGAAGCCTGGAGCCAGGTGCTTCTTCCTGGTCTCCCATGCAGGTACAGGGGCCCAAGCACTTGGGCAATCCTCCACTGCCCTCCTGGGCCACAGCAGAGAGCTGGACTGGAAGAGGAGCAGCTGGGACTAGAACCCGGCACCCATATGGGATGCCAGCGCTACAGGCAGAGGATTAACCAAGTGAGCCAAGGCACTGGCCCCGTCACTTTGCTTTTTCTTAGCTACCTTTGCATTCAGTCCTCTTATTCTTTGCCATATCCTATTCCCCTACAATGGCACCAAACTTTATATCATTTTTATTTAATACCTTAATAATAATTTTTAGTATATAGAAAGAATACTGATGTACATAATGTTTTTAAGATTTATTTTATTTACTTGAAAGGAAGAGTGGCAGCGAGAGAGGGAGACACAGAGAAGATCTTCTAGGGGCTGGCGTTGTGGTGTAGTGGGTAAAGCCACCGTCTGCAGTGCCAGCATCCCATATGGGCGCCGGTTTGGCTCCTGGCTTCAGATCGGCGCAGCTCTGGCCATAGCGGCCATTTGGAGAGTGCACCAATGGAAGGAAGACCTTTCTTGCTGTCTCTCTCTCTCTCTCTCTGTCTACCTCTCAAATAAATAAATAAAGAAGCAGAGCAGCCAGGATTCCAACCGATGTGGGATGCCGGCATTGCAGGTGGTGGCTTAATCTTATGTGCCATAGCACCAGCCCCTGTACTTTTTTTTTTTTTTTGACAGGCAGAGTTAGACAGTGTGGGGAGCAACCGGACTAGACTGAGTTACTGGAATTAAGACTTATTCTATGCATCTGCTCTCCCACAATATGGCGCTGGGAGAGAAGTAAACAGCTTCCGCACAGCTGCCTCCAGTTCAACCAATAAACTGTAGGACTTGCTCCTGATTGGAGAGCAGCGTACTCGGCGTGTGGGCAGCCGAGTTGGGATTGGCGGAGGAGGACTATAAAGGAGGAGAGAGACGGCATGCACCAGGAACATCTATGGGGAACATCTAAGGGAACCCGTGCAGCCCCCGAGAGAACCGGCCGGCGGTGTGCCGCTCCCCTGCGGAGGTGGGGAATGTGGCTAGGGGGAACTGCCCTTCCACGGAGGTGGAAGGGATAGTAGCCAACCCGGGAAGAACCAGCAGCAAACCCGGGGAGGGCCGAGCAGACGAAAGAACAGCGCAGGGTCCTGTGTCGTTCCTCCACGAAGAGGGGGAGCGACAGACAGTGAGAGAGAGAGAGACAGAGAGAAAGGTCTTCCTTTGCCTTTGGTTCACCCCCAAGTGGCTGCTACAGCCAGCGCGTTGTAGCCGGAGCACTGCACCTATCCGAAGCCAGGAGCCAGGTGCTCCCTCCTGGTCTTCCGTGTGGGTGCAGGGCCCAAGGACCTAGGCCATCCTCCACTGCACTCCACTCTGCACTGCAGAGAGCTGGACTGGAAGAGGGGCAACCGGGACAGAATCCGGTGCCCCGACTGGGACTAGAACCCGGGGTGCCGGCGCCGCAGGCAGAGGATTAGCCTAATGAGCCGCGGCCCCCGGCCCCCTGTACTTTTTTGAAAGAAAAAAATTCAAGCACGTTTTTGCTTGTATGTGACTCCCAAATATTTTCCTCTCAGTCACTGTCCATTTAAAAGAGATTGAGATTCTGTAATTCTGCTGTAGTTGTGCACATTTTGGGTAACAAATGTAATTTTAGGGGAATTGGATGGTAGTTCTCAAAAATATACATCTTATGTGTACAAAACTGTTTTTGATTTTCAATTCATATCTTTGTAATTGTCTCCTCCCTCTCTTTTTTATTTCAAAGCTTTTATTTAATGAATACAATTTTCATAGGTACAACTTTAGGAATGTAGTGTTTTTCTCTCCCCATACCCACCCTTCCTCCCCCTCTCCTGTCCCATCTCCTACTCCCTCTCCCTCTTCAAGATTCATTTTTAATTAACTTTATATACAGCTGTCTTTCTTACTCTTTTTTTTTCCCAATCTCTTTGTGATTACAAAACGGGATTTTTATTCATAAAACTTCAGTGAATGTAGTATTTACATTTTTCTACTATCTTAAGAGTCATAAAAATCTGGCTGTTTAATGTTTCAAAGGTATCCTAACAGAAATCAGTGTCTGAGTATTCCTTTTGATATTTTTCCTTTTTAAAAAGTCTTACTTCCTGTGATTGCTCTTTGTACCAACACATATGTGAATCAAAAACAATACCGAAGTTCACGGATAGCATGTATCAAGATAAAATTGGGGAACTAGGTGATGCGTAAGCGCATTCGTTCCAAGAGTGTGTGATCCTGAAGATGTGCTCCGGGAAAGGATTTCCTTGATCCTGTGCCAAGGGCTGCATGCCACAGATAGCAGCGCTGCTGCACACACTCCTACCAGCAGTCACGTTCCACACCCTGCTCATCTTCAGCGGAAGCTGCTGGTTGTGTGCATGTGTGAGAACCCTCTGGACACTTCTTGCTGTCTTGTGGTTTCAGTATGTATTGGAAAAAGGACAGGGTTCTATGTTCTTCATGCAGGACAAATAACTAGCGCCTATTCACTGTGAAAACAAGAAAGGAAACAAAACTATTTTAGTTCCACACCATTTCTTTAATTTTTTTTTTAATTACTTATTTTTTGAAGGCAGCATTACAGAAAAGGGAAAAGGCAAAGACGGGATGAGAGAGACCTTCCATTCACTGGTTCACTCCCCTAAGGGGCCACAACAGCTGGGGCTGGGCCAGGCTGAAGTCAGGATACCAGAGCTCCTTCTGGGTCTCCCACGTGCGTGTCAGGGCTCCAAGAATCTGGGCCATCTACTGCACATCAGCCTGGGGCTGAGTAGGAAGTGTAGCAGCCGGGACTCAGCCGGCGCCCATATGGGGTGCTGTCATTGCAGGCAGTGGCTTAATCTGCTGCACTACGACGCTGGCCCTCCTAGACCATTTTTCCAGTGAATATTTTCTTCACTTCTTAAACCATCCTTTTTCTACCCAGATCTGAAGACAGAATTTGGCTTGACTCACCTCATGAATTTGCAGGTGATATTAATTATGGACACAACCTGCCCGTCTCCTACAAATAACCCCGTATCACTGTTCTGTTTTTCTTTACATTGAGAGATTTTTTTGAAAACATTTATTAATTAGCAAATGGCAATTGCATCTAAATATGGGTACAATTTTTTTTAGAGGAAGAAGTTCTAAAGGAGAGCTTTTCTTTATATATATTGACCCCTGAGAAATGACTTAAAGGTATTCTAAAAGAAATTTAAGGAAGAAAATGAATTATAAGAATATATCTTGGCTGGTGCCGCGGCTCACTAGGCTAATCCTCTGCCTTGCGGCGCCGGCACACCGGGTTCTAGTCCCGGTCGGGGCGCCGGATTCTGTCCGGGTTGCTCCTCTTCCCGTCCAGCTCTCTGCTGTGGCCCGGGAGTGCAGTGGAGGATGGCCCAAGTGCTTGGGCCCTGCGCCCCATGGGAGACCAGGAGAAGCACCTGGCTCCTGCCATTGGATCAGCGCGCTGCGCTGGCCGCAGCGCTCTGGCCGCGGCGGCCATTGGAGGGTGAACCAACGGCAAAGGAAGACCTTTCTCTCTGTCTTTCTCTTTCACTGTCCACTCTGCCTGTCAAAAAAAAAAAATATATATATATCTTTAGTTCAGACTGTCCCCAGACTCTAGACGTGTCTGTCAGCTGACTGCTTACCCTCTCCACTGGGATGACGTTGGATGTCTCCAAAACTCCCCCAGTGGCTCTGCCCTCGGTCTTTCCCATCCCAAGTCATAGTACCTTTATCTCCTTTTCTAAGGCCAAATAACGTGGAGTCCTCATAACTTGCTTTTTATACTCACAGCCATGCTGTAAGGAAGTCTCGTGAGCCTTATCTTCAGATTGTCTCTAAAATGTGATCCCTTCTCACCATCTCCATGCCAGCCTACCTCCTTTTCCCATTCTCCACCCTGGCCTAGGTCATCTCTTCCCGAAAGTTCAAGTCCAAAGTCCCTTAGCCAGATGACTTGTGGAATATGGATTTTAGAACAGTGTTAACCATTCCATGTTGATTGTCCCACAGTGAAATGCATTAATGTTAACAAAAAGGGAACTTATTATCATTTCAGAGATAATATATCCAAAACATGTATTAGGGGATATTGAAGTGTTCCTGGAAAACTGAAATTTAAAGATAAGTTTATTTGGGGCAGATATTTAGCCTAGCAGTTAAGATGCTCGTTAAGATGCCTATATCACATGTGGGACTGTCTGGGTTCAATTCCTGGCACCAGCTCCTGATTCTAGCCTCTAGTTAATGCAGACAATGGCGATGGCTCATGTACTTGGTTTGTGTACCTCACATGTCAGACCTGGATTAGATTCCTGACTCCTACCTCCAAACCTGGCCCAGCCCCAGATATTGAGGACATTTGGGGAATGAAGTAGCAGATGGGAACATGCTACATGCTGTCTTTCTCTGCCTTTCAAACAAATAAAATGTTTAAAAGTTTATTTTGGCACAAAAGAATTTTGAAATCTGTGCATAGGATTTTCATAATACCATTTTTTTTCTGAAGACCCCTTGTATTTCATAACTCTTGAAACTACTTAAATAATTTTTACTTGATGCTTTTGTTATTTAAAAGTTGACCTGCTTTAAGGCATACAACTTTCTTAGTGCAAGAAAGACTTAAGAAACAGTCCCTTGCCGGCACTGCGGCTCACTAGGCTAATCCTCCGCCTTGCGGTGCCGGCACACCGGGTTCTAGTCCCGGTCAGGGCGCCAGATTCTGTCCCGGTTGCCCCTCTTCCAGGCCAGCTCTCTGCTGTGGCCAGGGAGTGCAGTGGAGGATGGCCCAAGTGCTTGGGCCCTGCACCCCATGGGAGACCAGGATAAGTACCTGGCTCCTGCCATCGGATCAGTGCAGTGTGCCGGCCGCAGCGCGCTGGCCGCGGCAGCCATTGGAGGGTGAACCAACGGCCAAAGGAAGACCTCTCTGTCTCTCTCTCTCTCACTGTCCACTCTGCCTGTCAAAAAAAAAAAAAAAAAAAACAAAAAACCAGTCCCTTAAAACATGCTTTCTGAAGGTATAATGTACCATTTACACTGGAGATTTTTGTCCTTTTACTATTCTCACAAAGAAAGGGGTAGAGGGGCCAGCACTGTGGTGTAGCAGGTAAAGCCGCTGCCCGCAGTGCTGGAGTCCCAGATGGGTGCTGGTTTGAGTCCCAGCTGCTCCACTTCCTATCCAGCTGTATGCTATGGCCTGGGAAAGCAGTAGAAAATGGCCCAAGTCCTTGGGCCCCTGCACCCATGTGGGAGATCCGGAACAAGCTCCTGGCTCCTGGCTTTGGATTGGTGCAGCTCTGGCCGTTGAGGCCAACTGGGGAGTGAACCAGCAGATGGAAGACCTTTCTCTCTCTGTCTCTGCCTCTCCTTCTCTCTGTGTGTAACTCTGACTTTCAAATAAATAAAAATAAATCTTAAAAAAAAAGGGGTACAAAACAGTAAACAAAGTTACTTAAACTTCAAGTGGTTGGATGTAATAGTTACAATCTTTTGACATTTGAATTTGAGGCCTAAATATTTTTTTCTAAATCGCCATTAATTAAGTATTCAAATGCACTATTTTTTTTGAGTTTTTTTTTAACTTTTATTTAGTAAATGTAAATTTCCAAGGTACAGTTTATGGATTACAGTGGCTTTCCCCCTCCATAATTTCCCTCCCACTCGCACCCCTCCCATCTCCCACCCCCTCTCCCATTCCATTCACATCAAGGAAATGCACTATTCTTAAGAGGTCTATTTATTTATGTATTTTTAACTTCTATTTGTTTCTTTCCTTGAAAGGCAGAGAGACAAGAGGCAGACACACAGAGAGGTGTTCCTTTTGTTGATTTACTCCCCAAATGCCCACAATATCCAGGGTTGGCCCAGGCCAAAGCTGGAAGCCTAGCACCCGATCAGTCTCTCACATAGGTGGCAAGGATCCAGTATTTGAGCCGTCACCTACTGCCTGCCAGCATGTGTACTAACAGGAAGCCAAAATCGGAAACCTAGCTGAGATTCAAACCCAGGCACTCTGATAAGTTACAGATATCCCACGTGACAGTGTCTTAATCACTGCACCAAGTGCCTACTCCAAGGTCTCTTTTTAAATCATCCCAAATGATCCCCAGTATCTCTAAAAATGATTAAATCCCTTCCAAAAACTCATTCTACTATCGGGACGTTCTTCCTTATGTTTGGTCTAAGTTCATGAAACATGAAACTACCACGTATACTTTTAAATATTGTCAGACACTTAAGGTAATGAACAGAGTCCCCAGATCCTGTATTCCATGTACTCAAGGAATACTTTCTGGAAATGACTCAACTGTTTCTTCTTTGGGCTCAGCAATTTATGTTTTAGTATTCTTTTCTTAGAAACACTGTCTTTCAACCCACCTAGCAATTTTTGGCTGTGCCCTTTGAACATTCTTTGCTTTTCAAATCGGTCTTAAACAGTGGGATCAAAAGATACTTAATAGTCAGATCTGACCTGATACTGATCACAAAGGGAGTGTTTTTATTTTGTTTGGTTCATGTTTTGTAAGCTAAATCATTGGCCTCTGTCACGAAGTGCGTTATAGTGCAGATTTGTGGGCAGTCATTTAATCCCTAGGAATTTTCCTTCAAATGGTCACACAGTGCCTGGTACATAAAAGCACTCCAAGATATTTGTTGAATGGAGTGAAATGGAATTTTACACCGGGTGCAGTTTCTTTTCATTCTCTGTAAGTAATCCTTCATGTACGTAAACTATCTACATTTCACCTGTTGAATCTGATAGTTCTTCCCCAAATGATCATGGCCTTTCTCTTATCCTGATATGGCTGATGAAAGCCATTGAAAATACACATTCTCTAGAAAAGTCAAAGCCCAATATACTTACAAGTTTTAAGAATAATGTTGAGAAATAACAAAAGACCCATAAAGGGAATATAAAAATAGGGTGGAAGCATTTGGAGTTGAGAGTTTTTAATTACTCTTAAGGATAGAATACATTCGATCAGAAGACATGGTTTTGGTTCTCACCACCACTATTTATGAGTTACGTGACTGTGGCCTAGCTACTATGCTTTCTACCTCAGTTTTCTCATCTGTAAAATAGCCTTCCTTTGGCACAGATTGGCTTCAAAGACAGGTAAAAGCATTTGTGAATTATTACTAAGATAGGTGAAACACTACTTACTATATTTATTTACTGTAAACAACCACAATGGGGAGGATTTCTAGAGTAAGTGTTAAGGAAACAATCTTTCATGTGTGATTTGAAATATTAAGCATATTTTTTATATGGAGCGCTTCACAAATTTGCACGTCTTCCTTGTGCAGGGGCCATTCTAATCTCTGTATCATTCCAATTTTAGTTTTTGTGCTGCTGGAGACCTAAGAGCATATATTTTTTAAAATATTTTTTATTTATTTGAAAGTCAGAGTTACACAGAGATAGAAAGAGAGGCAGAGAGAGAGAGAGACAGAGAGAGACAGAGACAGAGAGAGGTCTTCCATCTGCTGCTTCACTCCCCAATTGGCTTCAACAGCCAGAGCCAGGAACCAGCTTTTTCTGGGTCTTCCCACAGAGGTACAGGGGCCCAAGGACTTGGGCCATTTTCTGTTGCTTCGCAGGACACAGCAGAAAGCTGGATCAGAAGTGGAGCAGCCAAGTGTCGAACCGGCACCTATATGGGATGCCAGCACTGCAAGCGGTGGTTTTACCTGCTATGCCATAGTGCCAGTCCTTCTAAGAGCATATTTTAAAAATTATTTTAATTTGAGGAATTCTAATTCTTTTAGATCATGTGACTGTAAATATAATCAAGTACATTTTCAGGGCTACTGCTATGGGCATTATCTGAGCAGCATTAAAGTCCTCTAAGACAATGTGGGATTGTTATTCTTTCATGAATGGGACAGACTAAGTGTTTCACTCAGTGTGTTTCAGGGACATTCGTTCTCTGTCCTATTATTGCAACTGTATGCCGAAAAATGTTCTGAGGTCAAATGTATTTGAGAAATCCTAGGTTTAGCTGTGTTAAGTAGTTTTGTTAACTGTAAGACTTCTTAATACTTTAATGTGCTAAGGGTCATTATAAATCTCTAGGAGAGGCATATACGAGTGATGTGCAACATTTCCCGAGTGGATTTAACCATGGGATTATTTAACTCTTGGGATTAGAATTCAGTGCAGCCGATTTCAGGCCAGGCTGTGCTGAACTAAAGAGCCTGAAAATCACTCTTCATAAAACCTTGTTGCCCTCACTAATTAGCTCTCATTGCATGTTTTTTTGAGACTAATGGGTTGGTTGATCTTGTGTTCCAAAATAGCCTAGTGAGATGGATGGGGGCTGGGGGGGCCGAAGGGTACTGGGCAGACTGAGAGCCAGAAAAGCAGACTTCAGCAGCAGTATGCTGCATGGGCGCCAGAGTATGCTGCAGGGAATTTCTACAAAGTTGGAGACCAAGAACCAAAAGCTGGTGTCAGAGATGGTCAGAGTTCTTTCAGGGCAGAGAAAATAAGAGAAAAACTATGCAGAAGCCCATGACAAGAGTCTCAGGTGATTACTGGCACCATAAATAGGAGTGCCAATTGTTAAATCAACAACAGGAGTCACTGTGCACTTGCTCCCCATGTAGGACCTCTGTCCTTAATGTGTTGTACTATGAGAATTAACGATAAAACTAGTCTTCAAACAGTACTTTATACTTTGTGTGTCTGTGTGGGTGCAAACTGTTGAAATCTTAGTATATACTAAGTTGACCTTCGGTATATAAAGATAGTTAAAAATTAATCTTAATGAAGAGTGGGAGATGGGAGAGGGAGTAGGAGATGGGATGGTTTGAGGGTGGGAGGGTGGTTATGGGAGGAAAAGCTGCTATAATCCAAAAGTTGTACTTTCAAAATTTGTATTTAT